ACCATAATTTAAACATTATAGCATTATTTTTTTGAACAAATAAAACACATTTTTGACAGAATGTGTTTTACAACTACAGGCTACAAACTAAACAATCCAAAGTTTGTTAAAAAATATTAACTCTACAAAATCTATAATACATCCCCAACACTTAAAACTAATATCTTGAATACACAACAAGCAAATCAACATTTATCCCATCTGTCAATAAAAAAACACCACTCGAACAATATAACCTCAAACCAAACTATTGTAGAACACCAAATTAATAACTAACAATTCATTGATGCAAGACATAAAGCTCCAAAAAGGGAGTGTCAGTTAATTGTGGTTTGGAGGAAAACCCAACACAGAAGTCGAACTCCCAATCACCCAACAATAATTGATAAAAAAATGAAAACATACCGTCGCGTCGCCGTGCTACCAATTGCTAAGGAATGGATGTTAGGGTATGCTGCTGCCTTGCTGCGGCGGTGAGGGTGCTTTGACGCCGACAAGTGTAGAAAAAGATCAGATCAACGGCTTAGGGTTCCGCCGATAGTGATGAACCTGCCGGTGGGGCTAGGTGGTGGTTTAAATGTAACGTAGGGGGTTTTCTCAAGTACAGGTAGCTGATTTCCTTGTCGGAAGGAGGGGTGCTGCACTGGTGAAGGAAGACGGTGTTCGTCAACATTAGATGGAGATAAAGGTTCTTCTTCCTTTGATTGTGGTAGTTAGAGCTGTTCACTTATTGGATAAAACTGAATTGTCTAATTAGACAATTGGATTCGACTATTAGGTTCGGATATTCGGATTTTTAGATTGGTTTTCAACAAAACCGAATTATTATTTTGGATTTCGGAGTGGTTATGGTTTATAAAATAAGAACCGAATAGTCCAAAAAAACAGAATAACAATTTATTATTTATGTAGTTTTAATATATATCTGTAACTATTTATTAATTTTATAGTTTATTTTCCAAATATGTTTGAAAAGTTTCACCTAATAAAAAACGTTAATATGTATTTTCTCTCAAAAGTTTTTTTATTTACTAAATGTTAAATTATAATATACCTTCTTAGTAATTGTTTATAAATTTTAAATCACAACTAAATAATTTGTTTTTGCTTCTTTTGTAAAAATTAGATAATATTATAATTATATGTCCTTTTAAGATGTTTTGGTTTTTGAAAATCGAATTATAAAAACTGATCATTTTCTACAGAAGGATTTGGACATTGATTCTAAAAATGATCATTTTCTTTGCAGTTCCAGCAGACAATATCCTTTCTATTTTTTGATTGCCCTCTCCTCTTGACTTCGACCTTCCTCTGCTATTTCCTCTCTTGTTCTATTTCCTTCCATTTTCTTCGATACACAACACACTTCTAGAACACTCCAATGTATTCCTCCTTTGGATGTCTTCCCTGAGGATTAAGTCTTGAATGCCTTTAATGGTATTTTTTGAGATTTCGGATGAATTGCTTACAACTATAATGGATGCAGACCAACTTTCCAATAAAGAAGATAATAACAAGAGTGTCTGGACTTCATCATCAGTTGCAATACTAACATATCTCAATATTGATATTATTGAATTGAGCTCATTGATATGATCTGTAACAAATCATCATTCCTTTATATTTGTATTCACAAGCTATCAAATCAAGTAAACCTTGTTGGTTGCAGAAGGTTTCTTGTACATGTTAGACAACGCTTTGATCAAACCAAAAGTTTATATTTGTTGGGAACACATCCCTGGAGCCCTCCAAGATCCAGATACTTCTACTATGTAATCTCACATTCTATGATCCTTTCGTCATTTGGAACATCATGTGTCATCATGATCATGATTTTATGCGACATTTCGATGTGCTCCGTTTCACTCGGATGTGTGATGACTCTACAGTGATCTTTCACTTTCATTTATACAAAAAAGAGTCATTTTAGTGAATAAATCATAGTTATATTTTATCTTTAAGTTGTTAATTTTCTCAAATTAGAAAGCTTTAGCAAATGGAGAAAGGTCTAATAGGTGGATGATCAGTCAAACAAACAAAAAGATGAGTGTATGGAAAAAAAAAAATATGATGTCTTTATTTTTTTTTTCTTTTTGACAAGCTATCCAAACATTTATTTCATTTAAAAATTTGGTGTTTTTCTAGCCATTATTAAACATAATTTTTCAGTTTATATATAAGATTTTCTACCTTGCATCCTTGTATAATATATATAATAACTATTATTTATCAATTAGACATGTTATTCTTCAAGTTTTATTAGAGTTTTCACCAAATATGATTTTTTTAGACACTCATCTTTTTGTTTGTTTGACCCGACACCAAAGTGACGGCTTTTCAAAATGATTCGATTGTTTGTTTGTTTGTTTGTTTTTATTTATTTGCTTTGTCATTAGTTTTTTTTGCACTAAACTAGTGGTTTACTGTTTTTAATATTTAACTCGTGTCCTTTTAATCCACTTCAATTTAATAACAAGTGCTCATGTATTTGTCTCCATAACATCATTCTATTATTATTTGCGATTACTAAATTTTGAGTGTTCTCATTTTTATTTTTTTTGCCCCAGGGGTCAAATCACATTGGAACGGCCCTATATGCCGATGTTTAAAAGATGAAACAATATTTTAGTATGAAGGAATATGTTGGTAAGATATCAAACTAGTATGTATACTTTGCTAAAAAGTTAAGGTAGAATGTGTGTCGGTGTATAATTTGTTAAGATGTCAAAACCACTGGATGCAAATCTAGAACATATATGATGCCAAGATGAGAAGTTAGAGTGATATGCATATTCCAAGCTAGCTTGTTTATATTATTCAAGTGAAAAGCTAACACGCCAAAATATGATGCATGTATATAAAAAAGAATAATGACATACGGGGTGTTTGGCATTACTTATTTGAGAAGTTTTTTTTTTTTTTTTTTGAGTTGCATTAGTTTATGACGTATCAAAACAGAGTTTAAGAAGATTTGTTTGAATTAACTTATAAGTACTAAATTGTAATAATTAACCCTTATAAGTTGATTTTTAGTGTTATATAAATTCATTTTATATGTAAAAAATGACTGAAAATAGTTTCCTTATATACTATTGACTTATTTGGTTTTTTGGACAACTCAATTATATTTTTTCACTTTAAAATAATAATTTTGACAAAATCCATATCAATAACATTAAAAAAGCATTTGTTATAACTCCAACAGTTATTTTTATAATTCTCTTTAAAAAAACAATTATTTACATAAAATATGTTATATTAAGATAAAATCTACAATCTCAAATAATAATACACTAAAAAATATTTTATAAAGAGTTACATCAATAGTCTTAAAAAATACCCTTAAATAATATGCTAAAAAATATTTTTATAAAAAGTTACATCAGTAGTCTTAAAAAATACCTTTAAATAATATATTAAAAAATATTTTATAAAAAGTTACATCAATAGTCTTTAAAAATTACCCTTAAATAATATACTAAAAAATATTTTATAAAAGGTTACATCAATTGTCTTCTTGTTATCTTGGTGCTTTTAGAAAGCTGTTACTAATTTATGTTAAAAACAATTGCATAGTTATTTATGATCAATTTTCAATATGAAAGTATAATCAATTTTTTTTCTTGGAAAAAAAAAGTGTGTTTATAAACAAAGAAAATGGAAATTTTTTTAGGGAAATAATGATTTTTTTTGGCTTTTAAAAAATAATAACTTCCTCCCGAACGTCTCATTACAACTACTATTCACATTCCGGTAAGATCTTAACGGGGGCAAACACATTTTAGATTTATTTTTTGGTTTTTTCCCTTATTTTGTTTTTGAAATTTTGAAGTTTTTTTTTAATCCAAAACTTTAATTCGAAATCCAGAATGTAATTCTGAAAATAATCAGAAAATGTGTTTTTTCTTGGTCTAAAACGTCTATTGTGAACCAAATGATTGTCTTTGCTAAAAAAATATTATTGTGATCAAATAAATGTTAAAAAGTCATTAGATTATTCAATTTTTTATTTGTTAAAGCCTAATTCAGGACTCATTAATTATAAGTCATTATATGTTTTAATTGACGCAGATACATAAAATCTTCAAACCATTACTTTCAAACTATTTAAAAGAAAAACAAAGTTGTGATATATAGGAATTTTTAAAGTAAATTGGGATAAAATACTAAATTGGTTTTATTGCTCATTAGAAGAACCCAACTTATTACAAACAACTTATTTAAGTCAATAAACATTTTTAATTTAATTCATCCAAACATTTAAAAATAATTATTAGCACTACCGAACAGCGATAAGTTAACAAAGCAATTCCAAACACCCCTTATTAAGTATATTAAGCATACTACTCTTTTTATCCATGCTAAAAATTATAAAGTTTCTAACTTACATGTTAATTAAAGATTTTTCTAAGCAAAGCAACAACAAGAAAATAGCAAATACAGTGATCAGTCACTATACTCACTAACCATGCAAATTATATTATCTTTACATTCCTAATTACTTATTGTTTTTAGTTTTCACTGCTTTGTGTGATTTGAGTGTTAAAGATAAACGTATACGCGATACGTTGCTATATATATTATTCAACGAATTGATTATTGTTTAATTAGATTTAATCGCTTTGAAAGTTAAAACTACATATATATTTTCTCTTTCAATTTTAATCGTTTTTTTCAGATATTTATTTTATATTAATATTGATTTTGAATGTCGATATCATTCTTTCCAAATTTTTTTTTTTTACTTTTAACTAAATACCAATAAAAGTCGCCATTTATGTCTCCATTTCACATTTTGTAGGTCGAAAGCCAATAAAAAGATAAAATATACCATAACAATACAATTGTATCACTGTTAATATTTATTGTGTATTTATACTAGCATCATATAAATACAAGAGTAACAACTATTCATCAAACTTTACTAAAAAATAAAATAAAAAAGTAAGATGTCGGCTGTTTAGTTATACGAATTATTTAATAATTTAATAATTAACATCATTTTATATAACCAATAAAAATTTCCATTTTTTTAACTAACATGAACAAGTTGAGCCCCTCACTCCTTTGTGTATATTCGAAGGAAATCAGAAACCCTAGAATTACTTGTTGAATTGTAGAAACCAAAGCAAAGACTCAAAGAGTCATATTCTAAAAAAAAAAATGTATTCAGAATTTCTACTCAATACGCTACCCTTTTAAAATCCCCATGATGCAGTCAAAATCTTTATGTCCAAATCACCTAAAATACTAAATTGTAGAAAGACAAATAATACCATCGGTCAAACCTCTCCTTTGACTTTGTACGTTTATAATCCCCTGCATATAAACACATAATTTAAACATTAAATTTACGAAAAGCCAAAATTTTTATCTGACTACATTGACTTTTTAACTGATTGAAAAGTGAAAACTATCTTTCATTTTTTACGTGTTTACAGAAGGTTTTCAGTACTTCTTTCGATTCCCAAATCCCCAAAAATGAACTCAAATAGCATCAAAACGCAGTGAAAAGACAATAATTCCTTTCAAAAAGGTTTCATTTAGAAAAAGATCTTCGATTCAAGAACTATATGCATGGCTAAAAATGTGTAAGTATGTTATTATGCATTTATGAATATCAAAAAGTAGAAAGAAAAAAAAGCTTACGTGTGAGAGAACAAGAATGATTGCTGGAGTACTATTGAATGAAAAAATATCTGATTTTCCACGTCAGCACGACGGACCACCCTCCTCACTTCCGTCTCCATGATGTGGTGGCGCCGCTGGTTGTTGCGGTGGCTGAGGTTGGTGTTGAAGCATGAGGTGATGAGGGAGGAGCTGTAGTTGTTGATGGTGTTCATGCGGTGGTTGTTGGTGGTTCTGGTGCTGTAGTTGATGATGCTGTTCGTGCTCCGGCTGCGGTTGTCGGTGGTGCTGGATCTGATACATGTTATTGTCATAAGCGCCACCGAGAGCTAACGACGGAGACATGGTCGCCGGACCGGTTAACTGCGTATACCCGTTCGGATTCACCGCCGGCTGTCCAGAAGGTCCGGCGGCGTCAAAACCGGAGTTAAACCTCATCAAATCCGCCGATTGGTGTTGCTGTTGTAATTGTTGTTGTTGTACACGTTGTTGATGCTCTAAATTTCTTAACATCTCCTGTTCTCTAGCAGCTTCTACCATTTGACGTTGATGAGCTTCATATAATTGTTGTTGTTGATGTTGAGCATCTCGGAGATTTCCTGGACCTTGAAGCGTTAACATCTGCTGGATGTTAGGATGCATACCAGGTCCTCCCGACGCCATCGCCGCCACAGTCGCCGGCGACGGTAGCATATTTTGATATTGTTGTATAAACCCTGGGTTTAAACACGGCAGCATCGCCGGAGACTGTCCACCGATGTAAGTGCACAATTCCTGTTTCGCGATTAGTAAATCGGTCTGGACTTGTTTCAATCGTGTCTGGAGGATGGAGATTAATCCGACGCAACCGTAAACAGGATCCCGGAGACGCGCCTCCGCCTCATATGCTAACGAATTCACGGCGTCTTCTCTTTGGCTAGCGTTGAGCTCGTTGAGGATTTTAGCGACATTGCTTGCTCCGAAGACTTTGTGTACATTCGCGAATTTTACAGGCTGATCCGGCGGGAAATACGGGGCAAACACGCATTCTTGAGTGCATTTCCGACGTAAGAACTTACACGCAGCGCAAGGAGAATTTGAGGACGACATTTTGATCGGATTGATTTCAGTTTCGATTGCTCTTGATCAAAACATTTCACATTACGTTCCTGAAATTTGAAATCGATGATAAGAATTAGGAAATGATTATGTAATGGAATCAATGAGATCATGTTGACAAAGAATATATTTGATTGAGTAATTATAATAAATAACAAACGTACATAAGAATCTACGGATGCGTTCAATGAATTAAAAATGTGGCATTCAGCGAGGGTTCGTTTACCGATTATGGAGAAGGTGGTGGCCATTAAAGATTTCCTTTTATTGCATCGAAACCGACAAACGCAAGTCAAATTAAGAGATTGCTATGGAGATTATTATTTATTTGTAAATATGAATGAAGTCAGAAAAAAATATAGATTCAGATAAGTAAGTAAAGCGACCTTTGTAGAAGACGACGAAATTATAATATTTTCTTAATTCTGATATAAGAAAACCATCGATCGATGCGTACACACCATGAGAAAGAAACTGAGAAATGAGAATCGAGAGAAGAAGAAGAACATGAAATAGAACAGAAAACGAGTTTCATATTATGACGCGTCTTCAAGCGACAGTGAATCGACTTCTAATGCAAGAAACTGCTGGTAAACAAATATTTTTCTAGATCCGATTTTTTTAAAATATGATTTACTAGATCATCAATCAAACAAAAAAAAAAATCAGAAACTGCTACAAAAATGGAATCGAATTTATTCAAACAATTAGTTGTATGATAATTAAAAAGCTCTCATCACCTCTATTTACGATTTGATTTCGTTGAAAAAAACCTCCTTATATCACTCCGATTCTTCCTTTTTCTCTTCCAAAAAACAAATTCCTTGTCACCTGCAGAAGAAAAAGAAGAATCAACGATAACGAAAACCTCGATTAATTTATCAGTTAAAAATGCCGAATTCTATGTACCTGGTAGAGAGAGATACAAGGAGCTAGCTAGATTCAACTTCAAATACCACTTGATCCGATCTTCAAAACATTCAAGATCCCAAACAAAATGGAAAAATATTCTTCAAAGAGATTAAACTCTAGACAAAAACACACTCACATCCACACAACAACACGCAGAAGAACTTTTTAAGAAAGAGAAAAAACTATCAAGACGATAACGACGACGCCATGAGAGAGCATGTATATATGTGTATGTATGTATGATGAGTGCATAAATGAGTGTGTGTGTTTGTGTGTGAGCGTGTGGTGTGATCTCCACCGTTTAGATTTGGAGAGCGGGTTTATTTTGACCGTAGGATATGAAAATTCGGGGTTTGTTACAGATTCGTTGAGAGAGAGATTGAGGTATTTGAATTCTGAACGATCATTTAAATGCCTCTGAGAGTCTGAGTTACCTCTTTGTTCCTGTACCAACTTTTTATGTATTTCCATTGTTACCCTTATTATTATTATTATTATATTTTATTTAGAAAAAATATTACAAAATATATGGTTTTTATTTGAGAATATCCTATTAGAAATAAGTCTTGCATTTATTTTCGTAGATGATTTGGATAATCAATAAAATCTTATCGAATTGATATTGTTTTACAGATAGTTGTAAAACTTGTAGTTACATATATCCTCAAAAACATAAAAATATATACCCGTTAATAAATAACATACACATAATCGAATCAATAGCATAAAAGTATAAAAAAAAATACAATGATTAATAGTGGTTAACAAAAATATAGAAGCTGGTGGATTATTAATGTGACAATGTTGCATCCTCTTCGTAATCTATACAACATATTAACTTTTGTATAAAGTATATGACATTGTGGAAAACTATATAACCTGTCTATGCAATGTATTAAGCGCAAACAGTTATATAAAAGATGTGGATCAATGGAGAGTGGACAAGGGAGAGGAAAGGTCGTCGAATATTGATTCGTCGTAAAGAAAACATATGACCATGGATAGAGTAGGGTTGAACGTCGAGGCAAAATCATTGTTGTTGGAAATATGCATATGGTCGCAACAAATTTTTAATTTCCATAATTAGTAGCATCATTTTGGGTTACGTGTAACATATGATTTGAACATAAAATGATAAAGAAAAATTAGGGGGACTAGTTTATTAACATGCCAACTAGAGGATAAAAGGCTCTAAATATAAGATTAGATTTGAATCGGTGGATATTTATACCTAGGATGATGGGATAAATACTGATATTTAATCAAGATAATTAGACTTTTTCCATCCGAAAAATCATCCCTCTTTTTCTTCTCCTAGCTCATAGTTTTAAGCTCCCTATCCTAAGACTTTTGTTTTTGCATCCAAGTGAAGAAGGAGAATTGTCAAGATGTTGAATCATTGTTCTTTGGTGAGATCAAAATAGAGGAGTTATCCTTTGGGCTCTAAACCTTCCAACAAAGAGAAATTCGGCTCTCCTAGCTCATCAAGTATGTATGATTCAATCTATGTTTTATTAGTTATTATTGTTGTTAAATAATCACTAAAACGATATCTATAGTGGGTCAGGATGATCATTTTTTTTATGTCATGCTTTCGTTGCTTTGTGCTTTATGGATAATCATAACCTAACAATGATATTATAGACAATGTTCTAGGGTCTTAACACATTATAATTGATTTGGTCACAAAGAGTTTTTATCAGGTATTAACTCATAAACATAAAAATTCAACATTATATCATCGTGTAACATTCCAAAAATCGTGACCAAAAATTTTCTTTTAAAGACATTACTAACTCATAAATATTAAAACATTTCAAACATACTACAAGGGTTTTACGACAAATTAGAGTATCTTTTCAAAATACTTGTTCATTTTATCAAAGCAAACATCCCAGGCTAAACTTCTCGGTGTGTGCCATGCAATTAATCCGAGCCCTTCCATCCGCTACCGAAAGTACGTGAAACCAAAATTGCAAACCGTAAGCATGAAGCTTAGTGAGTTCCCTGACCTACCACATACCATACATATCTACTGATGCAAACATGCCATATACAATCGTGAGCACATAATCACATACTGGGGCCCCGCCTGCTGCATTGGGCCTCGCCCACCATTGGACCCTATCCGTCATTAGGCCCCTGCCTGGCATCAGGTCCCACCTGGCATCGAGCCTTGCTCAGTATACAAATTTGTTTCCCTTAGGCCCCGCCTGTCTCTGGGCCTCGCCTGCCATACACATAAATACGATCAAATAACATACTGAAACATACATAAACATTCCCTATCCATACCCTAATCTAAGGCCTCGCCTACTTGGGCCCTGCCCCTGGTCTGCTACTGAAGTAGTGGAACCCCGTCCACATTCCTACTAGTAGTGAGATACGCCCCCACCCACACTCACATCCTTCCTACCACGGGCCTCACCCCTAATCTGCTAATATCGAGATATGGAACCCCATCCATACTCAACTAGTGATGAGATACGGGACCTCTCCCACACTCACCTCCCTACCAGGCGTATACAAGTATAACGAAGACAACAAATATAATCTAACATACTACATAAGAATCTTCCTCGGGATTACCCCTACATCGGACCCCCGACCCGGAGACATACTATTATCTAACGTACTTCGGGCTTACCCCGACATCGGACCTTCGGTCCGGAACCTATCATACTGACACGTGCAAAAATCACAAAGACCTCTAGCATCCTAACATTCCTTGGGCCTCACCCGACATTAGGTCGTAACTCGAAACATATATCAACATGTGTTTAGGACTAACCCCCGGGTCTTCCTTCTATACATAAGCATAAACATAAACATGAACATAATGGGTCGGCATTGTGGCCGTAGACCAATGCACACAGTGAGGAGAATCACCTCGCACTGCTGAAAACTCGTTGAACACTTCTGACTGCTAGTCGGCAACTTCTGAACCGCTGACCCTTCAGCTTTCCGAATTATCAATATCCAAAATAACATTTAGACCACAACATTCCCAAAAGTCAACCCAGGTCAAACTTGGTCAAAGTAAATGGTCAAAGTCAACCTCCAGTTGACATGACTCGCCGAATTGATCTACCAACTCGTCGAGTCCATAATCCTCCAACCCCATACAACCCCGACTCCACTCATCAAGTCTAGCAAGAACTCGACGGGTTCTCCTTCAACCATACAACCGGGACCATCTTCATCCGACTCGCCGAGTTCGACCTTGAACTCACCGAGTTCATCATCCATATAAGAATGTATAGGTTGTGACTCGCCGAGTTGTATGAACAACTCGTTGAGTCCGTCTTAATAAACTAAGGAGATTGCATTGGACTCGTCGAGTTCTTCCTTGAACTTGTTGAGTACGATGAACTTCATGACCATTATGGACTCAAATTGTCTGGGTCCCTTACCAAACTCAACTCATACCCTTAACAGAAGGGTTTTCAGGCAATAACTAGCCTGATTCGCCGAGTCCTTCTGTTAGGTTTAAAAACAAACTTGAAGATTGATTAGATCTATGAAACAGGTAGAGAGATAACCAGATAAACAATAAGAATAAGCAAATGGATCAAAAAGTGTCGAATGATTAACAAACAATCCTCAGAAGAGCTCGATAAAGAACATCAACTGTAGAGGATTTTAGGGTTTACAATAATCAATGAGAATGACGACGACTTCTCTGCATACGCATACATGCATGCATATATTTATAATAAAACCCTAACCGTTTATCAAAGAAAAAGGGCTAATCTAGATAAACATGGATTGACAAGCCCAATCCGGTTGTAAAACAAAAGGGCCCAAGACGCAACACATTAATCTTCAACAATCTCCCCCTTTGCGTCTTTGGCACGGAGTCTTCATTCCCTTTTAACAGCAGATGGTTTCTTCACCGTTTCAAATATCCTCGGTATAATGGCCAGAATGTGATGCCTGAAAGTGATATACCACCGAAGCATATCTGTAAAATTCTTCTTGTCTGCTGTAGAGTTCTGCTTGCATCGGTGAATGATGTTTATGATATGCTCCAGGCAATCTGTTGAAAACAGATGCTTGTCTACCAAAGCAAACAGAAA